GGGCCTATTTCTGGGCCTAGCACTGGGCCCGAGGAGCCGTTTGGGAAGAAATCCAAGAAGGAGAAAAAAGAAAAAGGCAAAGAGAACAACAAACTGGAAGGTACCTGGAGGGGATATCAGTTGTGCTGGTGGCTCAGTGCCTGTTGACAAAGACCTAATACTAACTGGTGGACACTCGTGGCCATGCTTAAACTCTCAGCTGGTCCTTAAGCAGCCCTAATAGCCCTTGGAAAACAAGTGTGTCAGAGCCATTTTGAGTGGAGGAATGCCAGTTAGACCTGGTTAAATGTGCAGGGAGCAGACTCAGGCTTCCACCTTCCCTATCCCCAGCTCTCTAGGCTGCCTTCAGTTCACTCTTTGCTAGAGGCAGGAAAATGAGCTAGGTGGCCTTGGGAGCATATTGCTGGCTTGGGAAATTTCTGGTGTGTGAAGTAAGAGGCCTTAAAAAGTGTAAGACTTTTGGGTCCTAAGCAGTAATATTCAAATTGGTTATTGCTGGGTCGGTGGCTTAGAAGGATACTCAGGGCTTTGGGGGAAAGTCCTGTGTGCCCATTCAGTGTGTGTAGAGCCAGGGTTGGCTTATTGCTCTTAGCATTTACATGTAAAATTTCCCCTTCCCCTTAGCATTGGGAGGGGCCTAAAGTGGGTGACCCCAGATTTGCGTTTCAGTTCTGAAGAAAACATCCAAGAAAAAGAAAATGGAGGGAGGTGCTCGCAAGCTGGTTCAGCCCATTGCCCTGGATCCCTCAGGACGGCCTGTGTTCCCCATCGGACTGGGGGGTCTAACAGTATATAGCCTGGGGGAGGTGAGTGAGACCAGTGATACAGAGAGAGGAGCTTCAGAAAGGTGGGGATGGGGTTGAGCCTTCCCTCCCCGTTCCCAGTAGTAGCAGCACTCGCTGTTCCAGACCAACACCAGGAAATCTCCAGGCCCTAGGAACCAGGTCAGTTCGGTCTGCCATACAGCCTGCACACTTTCTGTGACTTGCGTCACTCTTTGTAGCCCAAGTGGCTTCAAAGGCTACCTGTAGCACATGGGGCTTCTGGATTCTCCGGTGACTTCATCTGCAGGTTGGGGGAATCTTTTTTGTAGATCATCACCGACCGACCTGGCTTCCATGACGAGAGTGCCATCTACCCAGTGGGTTACTGCAGTACTCGAATCTATGCCAGCATGAAACGCCCAGACCAGAAGTGTCTGTATACCTGTCAGATCAAGGATGGTGGTGTGCAACCTCAGGTATTTTTCTTCACAAAAATCTTACTGAACTTGATGGAAAACTGGTCAAAGCATTAAGTTGGCTAGAAAGCACTTACTACAAAAACTTTCTTGGCAAAAATTTCTCACTATAATTTTGATTAAATCATTTATAAATAGTATTATGCAAGTCAAAAAATGCAGAAAATGAATTGAAAAGGGGATTTGCAGTCAGAATGGCCCATGAGATATTTTAAGGTTAACCCGAGATTACATGGAGAATGATCTCATTGGTGTGTAAGATACCATTTGCTTTTGTATTTAGAGACATAAGTAAGTGGATCGAAAGGGGTCTGGAGGGGCATGGAACCGGTTCAGTGTTGACCTCTGGAGAGCAGTCAGGCCAGGAATATAGAATTGAAAGAGTCAGAGGACTTTGTTTTCTTGGATTTATTTGAATTTTTAATGGCACTGTAGGAAACTGTACCTACCTGCTAGTGTGGTATACATCAGCTTCACGTTCCAGAGTAAAGAACAGTTACAGGACAGTATGAGTTCCTGTCTCCTACTTCTTCCTGGAAGGTTGCTCTCATGGCTCCTTTGTCTTCCTCAGTTTGAAATTGTTCCTGAAGACGACCCCCAGAACGCCATCGTCAGTTCTTCTGCAGAGGCCTGTCATGCAGAACTGCTCACGGCCGTAAGTGCTACTGCGTAAGTTGGCCAACAGCTTGAAGACAGACAGAAAGACCACTTTGGGTACAGTTACAGTGAGACCTTTTCTCCTGCTGCAGTGAGCGGAGATCTCTTACTGTATAGAAGGCTTTCTTTCATCGCCCGGCTGTTGGGCTGTTGTAGTAACTGAAGTCTCCAAGAGGATCCAAGCCAAGAAGGCTTGCTGTGGATGTTCATGCCCATGTTCCAGCCCAAAACCCATTCTCATCTCCCTCTGAGCTTTCAAAATAAAATTCTCTCTCTCCCATCCAGGGGAAAACCAGTGTCTAACGTGCTTCCATCTGGAGCTGACTTTTTTGGGTTTTCTCATCCAACCATCCACAACCTGATCCAGAGTTGCCCGGGAGCTCGAAAATGTGTCAAGTAAGTGTGGTCAGGTCCGCTCCCTTGAGAGATGCTATACAATTGCAGGCCAGGGACAACAACTGTTCTTTTCATTCCTATGCTTACTGGTCTGCTCCTGTGCGCATAGCATGCTTGTTTCTTGACCACTGTGCCTGCGTATTGCCTCAGTCCTCTGCACAGGCGAGCAGAAGCCAGTTCCCCACTATACCATAATTATCGTTTTCTGTGTGCCCCATGACAGCAAAAGGAAGTCCTGCAGAATAATGTGCCACTAAAGAAGCCTATCTGTCTTTTTAAAGGTTTTGTTGTTGTTGCTAATGTGTTTTTAGGTATATGTTGGAGAGCTTTCTAGAAAAAAATGGGTTGTGGCTAGCAGCTCTTGATAACAGTTCCCTTTGGTCCTGCAGTTACCAGTGGGTGAAATTTGATGTGTGTAAACCTGGAGATGGGCAGCCATCCCAAGGCCTGCTAGAGAGTGAGGCAGCTATAAGCTTTGAAGCCTTTCAGAGACAGACCTTTGATGAAGATCACACTGATCCCATGCTACAAGGTATCATTTAATGTTATCTTCTGGTTTGAAAATTGACCATATTTAGGCTGCCCTCCCCTCTTCATCCATTAAGCTGAGTACCCCAGATGTCAGGGCAGAGGTACAAGCTTTTGCTGCTCTGATCCTGGAGAGTCCCGAGCCAAGAGAACCTGCTGCCCTGCGTGGCTCTCCAGCAGTCCTCACAGAAGTCACAGGGCACGGCTGGGATCTTAACAGTAAGGCAGGGCCCACTGAGAAACTAAGGTTTCACATTTTCTCCTGAAGTTAAGACCTAAGTGGAACTCCAGGGGCAAATTTGCTGTGCAGGACTAAGATTCCCGGTGAGGAAAAGGGGATCAGGTCACGTTCTCAGTCCCGCCTGTATCTCACAGATTCCCTACTGTAAATGGATAGGGTAGCTGGGGTATCATCACGATGATCATATCAGCAGAGCACTGAACTGGGAATGAGAATTAAAATTCCCACTCTCTGCCTGATACACTACATAACTCTAGGCAAGTCACTTAATCTACTTCAAACACAGTGAAAGTAAGTATCTTCATTGCAAAAGAATTGTCCTATCTCATGAAACAAGGGTGAAATTGGGCTGGCAGATGCAAGGGTGTTAAGGATTTGAAAGAACATACGTGTATCTGATCAGTCTCCTGAGATTCCCAGGCAACACTGGAACTTAAGGAATTTTTCCCCAGGATCCTTGGACCTCCCGGAGCTTCAGCCTGCAGCCTTTGTGTCTTCTTACCAACCCATGTTCCTGACACACGAGCCCCTGGTAGAAAACCACCTGGAGCACTTGAAGTCTCCAGCGCAGTGCAGCCCAACACAGTCTCTAGACTGAACGAGAAGGGCTCAGACACCACCGCATTTTCATCATGACGATTTTTTAACTTAATCTAAAACTTAGAATATATGGAAGGAGGCAGCAGTTCAGAAGAAATTATTAACACGTTTTGTTGTGGAGCTTCCCATGGTGACAGTTTTCCCTGAGAAAAACTTCACCTGCTTTATTTTTAGTAATAAATTTCTCTTAACAATTCTACTTATTTTCATTTTGTCATCAGGTATAATCTGTTTTGCTTAGTGCTGACTCAGGAAGGAGTCAGTACAGTTCTCACACCTTTCACCTTTGATTCTGATCCTACTTAGAAGACTGGTAAGCCCCAGCCTCTGTATCCCAAGCAGCTGATTTATTTCTATGTCAGTATCATCGAAATCAAATCCTGCTCATGCCCAAGCTGGAGGCACACTTTGTCCATTTACATTTCACCAATCCTCCAAGGGGAGCAAAAGTTCTCTAAACACTTTCTACATCTTCTTTGTGGCTTCTTATCAGAGATGTGCTGTTAACTAAGTACATTGAAACTGCATGATGACAAATTTAGATAGGACTGGGCATCAGCTCCCAGGCTCCCTCACGGCTCACCCTGTCATTTCATTAACCACGTGACAACTGCGTTCAGTACAACTGAATTATCTGGACCCTGTGTGTGGCATTAAGGTGGAGGCTTACCACATCGCCTAATCCTGACCACTCCGCAGCCGCTGGCTAGACGGGCAGTGAGGGCATCGCAGGGAGTGCCCACCCCAGTACCAGGCCTGGCTGCAATGGGACGTGACAGAAGGCCCCAGGAAAAGAATGGGGAAGGGGAGGTGAGATCTGGACTGTCACTGTGTGCTACAGCTTATAACTGCCAGCTGGGGACAATGCGAATGGGATTGCTGTTTCAGAGGCATGAATCTGGCCGGCCTGGGGAGGGACTCAGGCAGCAGCATTTAGAGCACCCCACGCTGGTCACTATAAAGTATCAGAAGCTGAAGTAACATTAATTTTATGACTTTTAATTATAGTCTTTTTATAACTGTAAGCTTTTACAGTGCAAAAACATTATTATGATTTGGATTATGGCAAATCAAGGGTGGAAAGGGTATTACTCAAAGCTGTTAATATTTTTCTTTTTTCTCTGTGTAAGTTGCCTGAACATACCTGTACTTATACAGAAATGATATATGCTGCCTTTATCACATAGAAAATACTTTTCCATTCTGTTACAGCTTGAGTAAATCACATCTTAAAAGAAAGCTTCATTTTAAGAAAGCCATTTAAAAATGTTTTGACAGGTTAGTATTTAAAAATACTTACTTTTTGCCCTGGCTGGTATGGCTCAGTGGATTGGGCACATGCCTGGGTTGCAGGCCAGGGCCCAGCAGGGGACGCACGAGAGACAACCATACATTGATATTTCTCCTTCTCTCCTTCCCTTCCCCTCTAAAGATAAATAAATAAAATCTTTGAAAAAAAATATTCACTTAGTAGCTTTCCTAGAACAGAAAGAACCCATTTGTGGTTCTGAAACTTAGGGAGTCAAGATGTACATCTTTTAAATTTAAACTAATCAGACTGTATTGAAATGCATCATGTGCCAAAAGGCTAAAACTCTTATCAAATATAGTGTGTATGTATGTATTTATATAAATATCAGACATGCGTTCACATGTATGGGGATACATGGAATATCAAATGTTTTTTATGGATCATCATTTTTAAAAAGTTGAAAAACAGTACCATATATCTGTCATCTGCTGGATTGTTAGGGGTTTTTTGAGTTTTACCACGTGCAGTGTCAGTGAGAATGAGGTAAAGAACAGCACTGTTCCTGGGAATCGAAACTGTTGGACTCCTGAGAAGGTATCACAGCTGTAAACATATTTATCCTTAAAACTGTTACTGCACATTAAGGGTCCTAAGAAAATTAAGTGTGGTATGATGTTTGCAAGTAACAATTACCACACTGTTCGTTTAATAGTAAAAAAGTGGGAGAAAACCTCTAAGTCCACAAATAGGCAATTGGTTAAAGCGTGGGGCTACCATAAAACAAAACACTCAAATCTGTATACAGTTTAACAGGAAAATTACTTTCCTGGAATAAATGAAAAGCACAGATTACAAAGTAATACCCAGTGTAGTGTGTACAGTACAACCCAGACAAATCAAGTGACTGTTCACCAAAATAACTGTTACTTTCCAAATGATGGATTTGGGGTTATTTTTTACTTATATTTTTGTTAGTGTCCAAATCATCTACAGTGATTATAAATATCATTTTTAAACAGTAAAATGTTATTTCATTTGGGAAACAAGCTGAGTTCCCACAAAATGTTTTAAATTATTCAATCATTAAAAATAAATTATTCAACCATTAAAAATAAGTCAACTTTTACATGACTTTTCATTAATATGTCCACTCCCTAAACCTCGTTTTTCACACTGTGCACTAGGTTATTGGAGATGAAAGGAACCTCAGCTTCTTGACTTGGTCTAGTTTATAAAGTAAAAAGTTTCAGTAAGCCCAGGCTAATTCACTATGGAAGAAAAACATTTTTATATAAATTCAGAGTATCGTAAGAGCACAGTGTTTGTGACCTCAACAGCAGTGAGCAGGAATGTCCTCAGCCTTCACAGCACCACTTCCTGCACTGCCTCACCCAGAACGACTTCCGGTCCTGCCAGCCCCATGCATGGTGAGTGCCCCCTACAGGTGCACCGTTTTTATCTCATACCATGACTTTACTGTACCTCTCCTGTGCTTAGATATGTTTGGGCACACAAACACCCCTGTAAACTGCCAGCAATCTTTGGGACAGTAACAGCCCAGGTGCAGCAGATGAGCAGTGCCACCCAGGTTTGTGTGAGTGCACCTGTGATGTTTTCGTGACAAAACCGCCAGATGATGAGGTGCACACACTGTCCCTGTCAAGCAGCTTGTGACTGTATACTTACATTTCTAACTTCTAGTAGACAACACACAATTACCAAGTGCTGTTAACTGTTTTTAATAAACCAATAAATACGATTCTTAAAAGCTCACACAAAAGCCCTCTTTCACATTTGTCCCATGAGGGTTACTTCTCTAAATGCTCATCACGAAGCTTTACTTTCAGCCTCCCTTTTTTCTTCCATCTGGATATTGTTTTTATAGTTAAAACTCTTAACTTTAAAGAGCCTGAGATTTCTATTTAACTGTAATGACCTGTTTGCCCGTCAGTGACCTCCAGAGTCGCATTCTTCCTAAGCTTGTGATCCCCCCAGACATGCTGCTGGCAACCGGGGTGTCTTTGCTACCATGGCCTCGCCTTTTCTCTGTTCCTGGGGCCGGCCCTCTGCACCTCCCCTGATGCATGCACGTGGTTCTGCCTTGCTAACTCAGCATTCACACTGCCGCTACTCAGACTCAAAGAGCAGAACTGATTTTGGCGTGGAGTGTAACATCCAACACTTCGTCCCCCCACACCCGGAATTGCAGAAACAGTGCTGGGAGGACCTGCAAGGCCTTGTGGGCCAGCCAGATGTTTCACCCGGAAGGAAGTGAATGACACTGCGGTTTGATTTATTTGTAGTCTGGCGTGAGACCACTATGGACAACCAGCCTAACCAGAGCAGCTGTTCCCAACCTTTTTGGCACCAGGGACCAGTTTCGTGGAAGACAATTTTTCCACAGGAGGGGGATGGTTTCAAGATGGTTTTCAAGCGCATGACATTCAAGCTCACCTCCGCCTGTGTGGCCCAGTGCCTGGTACTGACCAGTCAGGCTGGGACTGGTACTGGTCCATGGCCCGGAGGTTGGGGAGACCTGAACTGGAGGACAGAAGGCAGGCATTTCATTATCTACCAGGCCTGACTCAGCTCAAAATACAGAAACAGCCTGGTGCTCGCTGGGAACTGTCCAACAAGTTTCTATTAATTTTCTTTAAAAGCAACTGTTGCCCTGGCTGGTGTAGCTCAGTGGATTGAGCACAGGCCTGTGAACCAAAGGATCGTGGTTCAATTCCCAGTCAGGGCACATGCCTGGGTTGCAGGCCAGTTCCCAGCAAGGGATGCATGAGAGGCAACCATACATTGATATTTCTCTCCCTGTCTCATTCCCTTCCCCTCTAAAGATAAATAAAATCTTTATAAAAATAAAAAAAATAAAAGCAACTGTTGTGTTGTCATCATTTAAACTCCTAAATGCCCATTTCTAAGGGATCCGTACTTCTGCCTGTGGTCATACTGCATCACTTAGCAACCCTGCTGTGAGATCCAGGCATCTGGTCTGCCATGAAAGCAGTGAAGGGAGGAGCTGGCAGGGTGCTGCTGGGGTGGTAGAGGGGACACAGCTTATATTCACAAGGCCATGCGGTCCAGGCATAGCGGACAGCAACCAGAGCGCCAGAACACGAACTGGTATTCAGGGCCAGCGTCCGGGTGGAGAAAGTGTTCATGGGAGCCGGAAGCCACGTGCACCGCCGGTTGCCACAACATGAGACCTAATGAGAGAGCAGTAGAAAGGGAGGGTCAGGTGCAGCAGCGGTGCTCCTAGAGGCTGGGAACTGCCCTTTCAGACACAAAGACCTACTTTCAGCCAAGAACCCACTTCCTCCGGTGACCAGAGCAAACCTGAGTCTGGGTCTGGTCGAACATGGCCACAGGCTGACAAAAATGTCCATGTGATGAACAAGTGACTTAAATCACTAAAGCATGAATTATAAAGGGAGACAGGAAGCACAATGACATCCAGCATGTGAGGAAGGGTCCCCAAGCACCCTGGCTGTCACCCTGGCTGTCACCCTCCAGACTGCCAAACAGAAGTCCGAGCGAGCAGAGCACTCCCACTGCTGCTCCCCTCAGGCCCTGCCCAGGAGCTGAGGAATGAAGGGGGCTCGGAGACACAGGATACCCGCCTTTCTGCGGTCAGAAAGCACTCCAGGGAGGGCAATGCGAATGATCCAGTACCCAAAGGTTAAGTGCTGACCGGGCCACAGCTGTGTTTCTGGGTCCAAGAGATGGACAGACTGCCAGCAACTGACAGAAGTGGAGAACAGATTGCAGAATCTACCTACAACCCGGAGTCCAGAGTCTAAGTGGCACAGTGCTGGCCAAGCACTGGAGGCAAGTGGACACTGAAGTCGGGACTGCAGAGGAGAAGCTGCCCCAGATAAACTGTCATTAAAGTTTGTTCTCAATATGCTTTCATCTCCTCCAGGGCCCACTTTTCACACCCCGCCAACCCCAGCCTAATGGCCTCTTGGTTCCCAGGCACTCATACAAACATTCCATCTAGAAATGCCCCCATCCAACTCCCAATGATGGAAGGCTCTTCAAGGAACCTCTTTAATCAACAGCCCCAGCTCCACAGTGGGGTGATCCTTGCTAGTTGTTAGAAGAAAGCCGTTTCACTATATAAATTCACACTGAGCTACAAAGCACGAAGCTTACGCCTCTTAAAAGAGACACTAGCCCTGGCTGGTGTGGCTCAGTGGATTGAGCGCAGGCCTGCGAACCAGACAACTACGGTTCGATTCCCAGTCAGGGCACATACCTGGGTGGCAGGCCAGTTCCCTGCAGGCCAGTTGCCAGCAGGGGACGCACAAAAGGTAACCATACATTGATGTTTCTCTCCCTCTCTCCTTCCCTTCCCCTCTAAAGATAAATAAATAGTTTTTTTTTAAAAAAGAGACACCAAAGTCAAAAGAGTTTCAGATTTAGGATAAAAGAGGCATCCAAGGATGAGGGAAATATTCTGGAACAAGGGTCCTTTCAATGCAACCTACAAATACAGCGGCAGCCTTGCCCACAGCAAAGATGGTGGCTCTGGGAGGGAAAACACGAAAGGTATATTATTTTAGTTTGGACGCCTCTTCCCTTCCTTGATTGTCCTGACTATAGAAATTGCCTCTAAGCCAGCGATTTTCAACTGGAGTGCCTGCCACAAGAATGTTTAAAACACGCAATACCTGACTATTTAGTCAAGGGCACTGACTCTTTTCCCTTAGACCGTCAGGTAAAAAAAATGACAACAGCCAACACAACTACAGCTGTCCAGTGTGAATGGACAGCTGTCCAGTGTGTCATTGTGAATGAATCAAAATTACACCCACTTTTTTGTCAGGCTGGCAAAAGTATTCTTTTGTGGTGTGCTGCAGGATTTTACGAATTTACGTGTGCCGTGAGGTGAAAAAGGATGGAACCTGCTGCTCTAAGCAAGTGAATTAACAGCGGCTTATCTGCCCCTCTGAGACAAGCCCGCCACCAACGGAGCCCTGCCACACAGTCATCTCACATCAGAGACGGGCCTCACTGGAGGAAACCCTGCGCCCCAGACAGGAGGAGCCCCGGTGTTTCTGCCGTCCGCACCTCGAAGATCCTGTCATCCAGCCTTCGCACCAGGACTTCCTGGGAATACGTGAGGTTAAGCAGCCCTCTGTCCACCAAGAGCGCTATCTTCTCAGGCAGCGGCCCCTGAAAGGTCAGCTGCTTCTCACCGTAGGCCACCGCGCGGGCCCCCAGGTGCAGCCGGTAGGCCACGGTCTGTTTATCTCGAGGGTGGATGCTGTGGGATAAACAGGGAGAGAACTTTGGGTTTGAGCTCCATAATGACTACACTAAAAAAAAGAAGAAGAACAATAGGGTGGCAACTGTGGGGGGTGATGAGGGGATAAGGGGGAGAAATACATGTTCATGGGAAAATACAATAAAAATAAATAAACATAAAAAGAAATAATATATAAAGCACCCTTTAAGAAGGTGAGAATAAAGCTGACTCAATCTAATAGCCAGTGATGAATGGCTAGTCAGCTTGAGAGACACAGTGAATGGCAGTCAGAAGTGCGCTCTGGACCTTCTGTGGGTTGGGAACCTTGAAATAACAGATGACTTGGAAGGAAGAAATAAAGGGAGGCAGGGAGGATGTTGGAACTGACCTAGGTGAGCTAACTCAACAGACTATTCCAACTAACATATCCTGTGTCTCCACCTGAATCAGCTGTTTATGACTTGGTCCCCTCCAGGTTTTACTGGTTCAATAAATATTTATTCATTCCAAAATAAATGAATATTAGTTCAAGCTCCTACTAGTATCCAGACACTGTGTGTTGGGCTGCTGCTTTGGAACCCCCTCGTGTCCGACAGCACGTGGTAGTCATGGGTAGTCACACACAAGTACACCGTTGCTCCTCCTCTGAGCCCACGGCAGATTCACAGTTCCACTCCCTGCAGCCGGGCATGGCCACAGGGCTGCTCTGGCTAAAGCAGAGTGGGCATAAGTGACCAGTGTTGTTCCAGGGAGAGCCCTTTATGGCCACCGTGGCGCTTTATGGTGACTGGAAGTACAGGCCAACGTGGTGCCTCTGTTTCCCTGGATCTGTGAGTGACTATAGTGGAAAGTCTCTGTCGACCTCTGGACGTGTAGTGTGAACAAGAAAAACTTTCTGTTGCATCGAAACCCTGGGATGTTGAGGGTTCTTTTTTTATTACTGCAGCATATCCCAGTGTAAGTGATTGCAAATAATGCTTCTACAGTCCGATCCTCGGGCCATCTACTCTCTCCCCCCCACAAGTGAACGAACGTCACGGTGAAGGCCACAAAGAACATACACTATTATTCAAGCAAAACCCAAGAAGCACCCATACCTGCCGAAAGGCGAGGTCCTGTCACCGAGATCCATCGCTACAGCCATGAAAGTGTTGGGCATCCTCAGGTTGGGGACATAGCCAACATCTGCCGTTTGATGCCAGCGGATCTGGGAAAATCCGTCATCCGAGGCTGCACCAGACAAAACAGAAGACAACTAAAAAGAAAGAGATTATTGCATCAGAATTTGATTGCATCACAACCCTGCACTGGGATTTTTTTCAACCAGCAAACCCTGGTTGTGCTTCCCTCATTTGCCCAAATGTTCATTCACCAAGTCTTTGCTGAGCTCCACACCGCAGTGGCAGAATCCCTGTTGTCCTACCTGCCACAGTGTTGCTCTGCCACCCCTCTCATCATGAGGGGGACTCTGGGTCTCCTCCCACGGAATCTAAGCTATGTCTGTGACGTTCTCTGACCCATGGAATGCTCATAAGTGTGTGTAGCTTCCACGCCTTTGCCTCAAGAGCCTGTGCCTTCTGATTTCATTTTCCTAGAACCCTGAGCTGTTCGGGTTAACAGAACAAGTCCAGCTACCCTGATGGAGGAATGATGCAGATAGAGGAGCCCTGGAAACTGGAAGATCGTAAAGAAGACAGGCATTAATGCCCCAGGAATCCCAGCAGAGGGGCCAGTCATGTGAATTCTAGAGCCTTCAGTTCCAACTGCAGCCACATAAGCAAGCCCACCAGTACCACCAAGAGCAGAGCGAACCATCCCAGTTGGGACCACCATGGAATCATGAGCACAAACAATGGCTGATGTTTTGAGACACCAAGTGTTGGGGTAGTTTGTTGCAAAGCAATGAGTAATGGACACACCCGTGTACAACACAGGGCTGAGCACTGTTTTGATGGGGAACTCAAGAGTTAGAAAAATTTTAGCTTTAAGTTACAGTTAATAAGCTTATTAACTATATATAATAATTAATGCCTGTAAAAATCTATCGTTTCAGGAACTGAATGAACACCCACCCTGACTCCAGGAGACCACAGGCGACCCAACCTTTGTGCCTGGAGGACTGCCAGCCATCGTGTGTGCTCCAGGGAAGAGACGTCCTGCCACCCAAGACATAAAGAGTCACCGGCCAGCAGAGGAAAGGGTGCTAGGGAAATTGCTGGAGGGCAGTTTTTATTTGATTAACCTTTTCCCTGAATTCCACCAACCATCAGAACAAAGTGCCCATAAAAATTCAATCCTTGTCTCTATTTATTGGTTCTGGTAGCGACAGATAGCATGAACTCTGACTTTTCCAATTTCGGTGTAGGAAAGCAAAGAGGCATCTGCCCTGGAGTGTGTGTGCAAGCTGCATCAAAGATGCCAGTTCTAAGCACCAAACAACAAACGTTGGAGAGGCTGTGGGGAAAAGGGGACCCTAGTTCACTGTTGGTGGGATTGCAGACTGGTACAACCATTATGGAAAACAGTATGGAATTTTCTAAGAATGAATATGCCTTTTGACCCAGCAATTCCACTGCTAGGAGTATATCCTAAGAACCCTGAAACACCAATCCAAAAGAACCAATGCACGCCAATGTTCATAGCAGCACAAGTTACAATAGCCAAGAGCTGGAAGCAACCTAGGTACCCATCAGTAAATGAATGGATCAAAAAACTATGGTACATTTACACAATGGAATTCTATGCAGCAGAAAGGAGCTCCTACCCTTTGCAACAGCATGGATGCAGCTGGAAAGCATTATGCTGAGTGAAATAAGCCAGGTGGGGAAAGACAAATACCATATGATCTCACCTTTAACAGGAACCTAAACAACAAAACAAACAAGCAAACAAAATATAACCAAAGACACTGAAATACAGAACAGGCTGACAGGCACCAGAGGAGACGGGGGAGAGAATTTCAGGGGAAAAGGGGAAGGATTCATAAGAACAAGTATAATGGACACATGGACAACAACTAAGGCAGGGGGGATGGGAGGGAGGTGGGGAGCACTGGAGGGGGTGGGCTGGGATGGGAGTAAAAGAAAACTGTAGTTGAACAATAATAAAATAAAATGAAATAATGAAATGAAATGGAAAAAAAAGAAAATAAATAAAATAAAATAAAATAGAAAAGTTAAAAAAAAAAAGATCCCAGTTCTTTGCACATTCCTATATCCACACCCTCTTGTCATGTGACTTTATGGCTCCCTATGAAGAGGAAAAGTACATTTACCTCCCAACCCCTTGATTCTGAGTTCAGCCATGTGGCCTGCTTTGGCCAATCGGTGAGACAGAAAGTTATAGTGGGTCAATTCCTAGACTAGGCTTCTTTTGCATTACTCTTTGCATTTCTGCTGTCAGCATGAAAATGACATGCCCGGGTTGGCCTACTACTCTTGAGAGAAGGATGACAGCTGCGGAACAGAGCTGCTCCTCTAGCGCAGTCCCACCCGGCCTGGACTGCAGCGAGCTCCCCAGCTTACCCACAGAGAAGTGTAACTGCCCAAGGGAGCTCAGCCAAGATCGATCAACCTCCAGCTACCCAGGCACATGAGCTAAAATAATAACTGTTATTTTAAGTCACGGAGTTTTGCAGTGCTGTTACCTAGCAGTAACTAACTAGTGCAAGTACTTCACAGCTTTGCTGGGGGGACAGACCTGTACATAAGAAATGTTAATAAAAACTTTATAAAATAGTATGGACTAAATGCAGCCTTGGTGGCACAGATAGCAAGTGCTCTACATTTAGAACATTTTTTTGTTTTGTTTTTTTATAATGTATTTTATTGATTATGCCATTACCATTGTCCCATTTTCTCCCTTCACTCCTCTCCACCCTGCACACCCTCTCCCACCCACATTCCCCCCCTTTAGTTCATGTCCATGTGTCATAAGTTCTTTAGCTTCTACACTTCCCACACTACTCTTGCTCTCCCCCTATTGTTTACCTACTGTCTATGCTACTTATTCTCTGTACCTTCTCCCCCCCTTCTCCTCCTCCCACTTCCCTGTTGCTAACCCTCCAGGTGATCTCCATTTCTGTGGCTCTGCTCCTGTTGTACTGTCCACTTAGTTTGCTTTTGTTTTAGGTGTGGTTGTTAATGACTGTGTGAGTTGGCCGTCCTCTCACTGTTCATATTTTTAATCTTCTTTTTCTTAGATAAGTCCCTTTAACATTTCATATAATAAAAGCTTGGTGATGATGAACTCCTTGAACTTGACCTTATCTGAGAAACACTTTATCTACCCTTCCATTCTAAATGAGAGCTTTACTGGATAGAGCAATCTTGGATGTAGGTCCTTACCTTTCATGACCTGGAATAGTTCTTTCCAGCCTCTTCTTGCCTGTAAGGTCTCTTTTGAGAAATCAGCTGACAGTCTGATGGGAACTCCTTTGTAGGTGACTGTCCCCTATCTCTTGCTGCTTCTAGAATTCTCTTCTTCATTTTAATCTTGGCTAATGTAATGATGATGTACCTTGGTGTGTTCCTTCTTGGGTCCAAGTTCTTTGGGACTCTCTGTGCTTCCTGCATTTCCTGGAAGTCTATTTCCTTTGCCAGATTGGGGAAATTCTCCTTTATTATTTGTTCAAATAAGTTTTCTACTGGTGGCTGTTCCTTTCCCCCTTCTGGTACCCCTATAATTCGGATGTTGGAGCGTTTAAAGACGTCCTGGAGGTTCCTAAGTCTCTCATTTTTTTGAATTCTTGTTTCTTCATATTTTCGTGTTTGGCCATTTTTTTCTTCCTTCTGGTTCACTCCCTTGATTTGAGTCCCAGTTTCCCCTTCATCACTATTGGTTTCCTGTGCATTTCCCTTCATTTCAATTAGTTTAGCCTTCATATGTTCCTCTAATTTGTGACTAAAATCAACCAGTTCTGTGAGCATCCTGATCACCAGTGTTTTGAACTATGCATCTGATAGGTTGGCTATCTCTTGGCCGCTTAAAAGTATTGGCTCTGGGGCTCTGAACTGTTCTTCTGTTTGAGCCATTTTTGGTCAGGTCGTGCCTGACCAAAAGTTATGAGGGACAGAGCCTTAGGTGTTCTCCTGAGCAGGTCAACCCAGTGGCTGGGTTGTGATGCTGTATGTGGGGGCGAGGTCAGAGAGGGAAAAATGTCATTCCCCTCTACCACTTCCCACAATCAAATTGGGCCCTTCTGGTGCTGGTTCCCAGGTGGGTGGGCCTGTGTATGTTCTAGGACCCTATGGGTCTAATGAACACTCCTGTGAGGCTGGGAGTCTCTCCCAGAACCTCAGCCCCCACAAGTGTTTTCAATTGGTGCTTTTAGACTTTATTTCCCATCGCTGGGGCCCTGGGTTATGTGGTCTGTCTCACTGTTCATTTTTGTCCGGTTTATCTGCACGTGAATGTGTGACTACAGTCAGCCAGTGGCCTTGCGCCCTCACTAGGTCTGCTTGTTTCCTCCCCGCACCCAGGGTCTACTAGCCCCACGCTGCCTGTGCAGCTGGGTCTGCCAGCCACCACTTTTCCTTCTGCAACCCCTCTCTGCTGGACGCCAACTCTGCCCCTCTTATCCGTATGGATGAATGGTTGTCAGACTTCTGTACAGTTCAATTTTATGTCTGTTCTGGTTGTGTTTTTGTTTCAAAATCTTTGTTGTCGTCAATTTTGGCTATGCAAGGAGGCACAGTATTTCCATCTACACCTCCATCTTGGCCGGAAGTGGCAGGTGGTTTCCTAGAGCAACATTTATTATTACAAGAAAACATAACCTCAGAATATATTTTAAAAATGAATGGGCACAGCCCTGGCTGGTGTAGCTCAGTGGATTGAGCACGGGCTTGCAAACCAGACAATCATGGTTCAATTCCCAGTCAGGGCACATACCGGGGTTGCAGACCGGTTCCCTGCAGGCCACTTCCCAGCATGGGACGCATGAAAGGCAACCATACATTGATACTTCTCTCCCTCTCTCCTTCCCTTCCCCTCTAAAGATAAATAAATAAAATATTTTTAAAAAATGAATGGGCACAGAAAATATGAGAAGTCACTGCAAACAGGACTGCTCACATGTCCTGTGTTAGAATCCTATGAAGTTCCACCAAGATGGAGGCATAGGTGGAGATACCTTGCTTTCTCACACAACCGAGTTTAGAGTCAACTAAATATTAGCAACAGAAAACACAGCCAGAACACAGAAAATTAAACTTTTCAGAAGTCTGATAACAACAAATTCTTCAGCCTGACCGA